TCGCAGCACACGGTCGACGAGAGCCAGGACAAACGACGCCTACGACACCTGAGTCGGATTCTGATGGTTCGATACGTCCGCATCCAGGTGCCTCGTCGTTCCGGCCGTCGCCGACGGTGGTCCATGGTCCTCGCGAACTTCTACAAGAATTTACCATTGCACTTCGCAATGCGTACCGTGAACCTTTCACGGCATGGACACAGGGTGAGCTGGATGAAATGGTGAGACGGAAGAAGGATAAAGATTCCAGGCCCACCTATAAGACCATTGCGCGGTTTCTTCAGAAGCCGATTGAGGAAGTCAAGCAGGCATGGAAGGTCTACCAACAACTTGAAGCTCGCGGCTAGCACCATGCCCGACAAATGCAGCAATGACCATTGATTGACCAAATGATACGCAGCGGCGGTGTGTCCGATTCGCGTTGTTGATCACATGATATTTGCTTGCTCGCATGTGAATCAATCTTGCTTGTCGTGTTGTGCAATGTCGTTGACATGCTGTGATGTCTTGCCTGAGTTGCTCAAATCATGTCGGAACAAGTTGTACAGACGTACATTACCTGGACCCATGGAGCGCAGCCGACGTGGTTACAATTTCATGGACCCGGGGCTCTACTCGACAGACCCATACGGTTAACTACGTCACCTCCGCCCCCGCCAAGTTTGCCATTGCTTCTTCCACCTCCTCCTCCACCACCACCACCACCACCGGTGATTCTTCACCCACAGTTTATGCCCTCGGTACGCAGCCCCACGATCTCAGCCCCTCGTGGACAATCCTGCCCTACCTCTTCGAAATCGCAGCGCACACGCCGCTCGATTCACAGCAGTGACCACTCCCGTGATGAAGAACCACGCAGTCCAGGGCCCTCGTCCAAACGATCTCGGACAGCATCAGCTTCGGCGCCGCGGCGATATCGACGGCCCTTTACAGTGTTTTATTCCAAACGTGCAGGCCGCCCATCGATATCCCCCTCGGCGGCGTGCAAACATTACTGTCACGCCATCCTGCGCCATGGACGGAAATGTCTTTCCCCTTGTGCTCGTAGACGGCCAGGTCACTATCATTGCAGGTGTACGCGACATCAACGACAGTGAAAGCTAGGAGTCTGACATTTCCGACCTCGTTGCTGCGTTTCACCTTGTGTTTGAAAAGTTGCCTCACTCTTCAGTGTGTATGTGCGGTTTGCAATGCATGTGTGTCCTTGTCGCAGTCTTTCGATTGGTTCACAGTCGTACAAGCACGTATTGCTGCTATGAACCCCCAGTATTTCGAGTACCAGATCGATAGAGGAGTGGAATGGATTCGAATTTACTCTCCGGGCATTTGGAGGCCCGTTCCCGATGAGGCTCCTGTTCCTGACCCACTGTACGCTTCCACGTATCGGGAGTGGCGCAGATCATATCACTTCCAAGTGTACTGGTCTGAAGACAGCACCGGTGGAACAACAATGGATCCTATAGTCACGCCCAGTGCCTATGTGTCCTATCACGTGTGGGAGTACCGGGACTGGCAAACACGAGGTTACCAACGCCTTGGACCTCCTGTACAATCCATGGGATTCGCGATGCTCGTTAATGCGGACGTCGAGTCCTCGGTGGGCTCGTCGGTACCGGATGGGGCGTGGCGGGAACCGTCACCGCCACCATTCCATGATCCTTGGAATGAGTCGGATTGATTTTTGAGCAGCATGTTGGACAAAGATGCGGTTGTGCTTGCTTTGTATGTGTGCTCACATTGGGTTGTCTTGCTTGGTGCTGTGCATGTCGTTTCAGTGTATCCGCCGCTTTCCGGGCTACCTTTGAGCAGCTTGTTGGGTTGAAATGTTCAATAGTACAGTGCAGGGTGCAGCACGATGGGACCTACCTCGTTATTTTGACTATGACATCGTTCATGGTCGAGCAGGAACGAGTGTGGAATGGATTCGAATCTATGTGCCGGATCAGTGGCATCCAGTAGCCCCAGACACCCTGGGACCGGCCCCGGATGACCCGACCGCCTATCGGGAATGGCGCAAGGTCTACCACTTCGAAGTGTACTGGCCCAGGGAAAGCACGGGCGGCACAACTATAGGCACGGCTCTGCAACCGGTATCCTATGCCACCTTCTACACTTGGTATTACAGGGACTGGGTCACCAGGGGGTATCAACGCCTGGGTCGTCCACATCCCAGCATAGCGAGGCCAGTTTTCGCTTCGGGTGCACCGGACCTCATGTATGCTGGAATGACCTCCTCTTCGGCATCATCTAATTCACATGATAGCTGATGCCCGTCCTCGCCTCCCTAGAGAGTCTGCCTGAGATGTTGGCGACGCACAGTGCTACAAAAGTGGTCTTTTGCCTTTTGATAGTTGAGTTGCTTTCACTTGTTGTTGTCTGCAGCCGTACACCTATCAACTTGTTTTTCCGTGGTTGCGTTGTCATGCCGTGGCTGGAATGGTGCCCAGACCCGCAACAACCTGATGCCCAGTGGGTCAAGATCTTTCATCCGGGACCATGGACGCCTCAAGAAGAACATGATGCTCCACCTCCTCCGCATACTTTCAGAGAATGGCGGGAGTTCTATGCTCCCAACCAGGACTCAGACGATGGGCAAGTCCAAGTCACTACGTGGTACAAGCGAGACTGGGCCACAGAGGGCTATCGGAGAATCGCTGCTCCTCACGCTGGTCATGAATTTGATTCCATGTATCCCTCCGATCACCATAACGTGGCCACGCAGTCGGCGGCGTTGAGTATATCGCCGGAGCTGTTAGACGCGATTCTCAGGTCCTCGGATGCGGCTGATTTCTCCACTGAAGAACTGATTCGTCTCCAGGAGGGGATTTCTCAACAACTGACGGCCCGCGCACGTCAGACCTCCCATCCTCATCAACCAGTACGTGCATCGCGTGGAAACACACCATCGGAGACGATTGGGGTCTCCGACCCCTACACGCCCGTGAATCCGTCCGACAGAGGCCAAGACAAGATGAGGCCCGTCTTCGAGCTGACTGACGACTAGCCGTGCATGAGCAGCGCAGCGTACAAAATAAGGGTGGCCTCTACACTTGCATGATCTTGCTTTGCTGTTGTTTGAACATGGTTGTGCATGGTGCTTGTTCATCTACTAGCTGGATCGGAGCCCGCGACCATCCTTGCCTCTTGCCTTGACATGGACATCGATGATTCCAAGCAGTATCCATGGCTCGAATATTCGGTCTGGCATGATCAGGAGTGGGTGCGGATATACACTCCGGGACAACCTCAACGATGGCACCGTGGTGACGCCGTACCTGATCTACCTGAAAACTCTTTTCGTGAATGGCAGCGGGTGACGGATCCCGAAGCGCCAGTCCAGGCATGGTACATCCGTGACTGGCAACACCAAGGGTACCAGCGCATTCTGTCTCGGATGGAGTCCTTCGCAACTCACGATTCACAGGATCAGACTCTTGGTCAAGGTCGGAACTCCGATGCCGTTCAAGTTGAGGAGACCTTCACCTATGCCACTCCGTTTTCTCATGGTGATCGCCAGGCTGCTTCACAAATCGCTTCAGTCCTCTATGGCGACACTCGCAACGCTCAACGTGGTGATCTTTCGTTCCCGTCTTCTGAGCGGTTTAGGGCAGTGTCTCGCTCCCCTCGCCGTGGTGGATATTTTGGTCAACGATAGTGATTTGAGTTTGAGCATGTGATCTTCCTGCAGGAGAAAAGAGAAACCTCGCCCCTCGTAGAGGGGCGTGTGTGTGCGGAGTGACAGAATGCCCTGTCACCACCCTTTCTATTTCGCAGCAGGGGCGTGCAGCACCTTTGGCATACTGCACGCAATGAAGCTACTGCCAAAGGTGGGAAGGGTGTCCAGACGTGGACACCTGTACCTGCGTCGTGATGTTGCTGAAAGTCCTTTTGGTCCCCTCCCTGAACCGCCGTTGTTTTGTGTTTCCCTGTTAAAGTACCTACAGGGAAGCCAAGTGCATTGCGAGCCGAAACTCATCGTACTCGAGACTTGTCGGTTGTACTCGAGACTCATCAGTTGTACTCGAAAGATTAGCACTCTCCATCTGGAGTTCAAGTGTGTGTGTGTGTGTGTGTGTGTGTGTGCGTGTGTGTGTCTAGAAAACGGTTTGGACGCGCTTTTTGTGGATTTCACTCGTCCTTCCCCCTGCAAGTCCTTTTTTAGTACTCTGCTACTACTCTTTTAACATCCTACAGGGGTGGATCCACAAAAAAAACCGCCTCCAAGCCGTTTTTTAGCGTGTGTGTCTGCTTGTTCTTTGGCCGGCCGCTGTCAAAGCGGGTTCGGTTTTGGTGCAAGCAGATGATCCGTTCCGGCGAGATTGCCCTTTGAACATCTGGGGTTGACCCCAAAGAGGGTTCCCTTTTCGCGTGATTCGCGCCAGGACTTTGGCTGTGACACTCACACAGGCTGGCGCAAAGGATACAGTTTGGCCATGTCGCATATATCACATTGGCCAGCTGATAAGGATCAAACTCGTTGTTTAACAAATGAGACAGTTTCTTTTGTTTTCCCAAGAAGAACGCCTGCAAACGGACAGACACCACTTCTTTGAATCCCAACAAGTTGCGCCCTACATCTGCCACGGCTTCTCTGAGAGCGAATCCATCATCCATGAGTCAATGAGGCCCAGGGTAGAAACCAAACATGCAACTCTACATGTGGACTTGCAATAGGGACCCCCTAAAAGGATAGTATTGCCCTTGATAAGCTTATCTTTCAAACAAAGCGAGAAAGGGGATCTGCACAAAACGACACACCCATAGCGTGCAACTCGTGAGGCTCAACCAAACACTGCTGGATGGCTCGACCAACGTGACAATTATTAAAAAAAAAGAAAAGAAGAGGACCTGATCTCCTACCTTCATGACCTTCATTTTTCTCCTACGAGTAGTAAACAGGGAGCTCACGAAAATAAGCGTCCCACGAATACTATATATATATATATATATATTGACAGGGCCCTTTTTGAAGAAACGTGACTCAAAGAGAAGGCAAGCGCCTCTGGACCTTGCCGAACTCGTCCTGACACACGCACGAGCTGCTGGGAACCGAGCAATTGGAATCCGGGATGAAGACACCCGTGACGAATACCTCCATTTGCGTTTTCGTCCCCTGGAAACCATCAAACGTAATTCCAGTGATAGATTCCCTTTAAAAACAGGGGAAAATAAAAACACATTCTTAACCAAACGGAATAATAATAAGTAGAGGGCGTCCCATCAATATATTAAGTTCACTTTTGGGGTTAAGCATCATCTACCGGGTTCAATCCGTGGTCGACGATGTTAGTTGGACCCCCATCTCTGGCCGAAGTTGCAAACAGCAAACGTGTTTCTGAACATGTGGTGTAAATTGGGTTCAATCTTGATCGCTTTGATTTTCGAGTCTGTGAATGATGGGTCGAGAAGGATTTGACGCCCCTTTGGCATTGTTTCAGAGGGGAAACCATCAAACATTCAGGGGAAACAGCCGGTTAAAACAAAAAAAAGTTGAAAATAATGGAACATCAACCCCTAGATTTGTTTCATCCTGGTGCCATCCCATCGAGACAGCCTGCACCGATCAGTCCTGCGGAGGCCTGGCGCCGGAAGAGCGCAGACAGCAGGCCTCCGCCTCATGCGCCACCGCTCGCTGGTCTGATAGCGCGCCCTAACAACCATGGAACTGGAATGGGTTCCCCAAAAGGAAAGCGGTCGTCCAAAACCTGCCTGTCAGCTTCCATGATTGGAAGGGTTCCAATTGGAACCCTTGGGTTACCTTCCAAACATCCCAAAGCACGCAATCTGGGTGTGAAGCAGGGATCTGGAAAAGTCGCACATGGGTGGAGGATACAATTGTACCCTGGTTTAACGGGAAGCTTGGGGGTAGCATCAGTTTGAGACACACCCACATTACGACATTACCCATGCCCTTTTGTTTCCTTTTGAGGGCAAGAGCAAATAGTGGCTAGTTAGCACCCAGTCTCTACCCCACACTGACCAAGTAATCTGTGCGAGGGACAGCGAATCTATCTATGGCCTAAACATTGCTAGTTCCCCATGAAACACAAGCCAGTGTTTCCAGTTGCCCCTGTAGGGCAACCAATACAAAAAACCTAGACGTAAGGAAATACGAGTTACTAGCTACCCTGTTGGTGGTGGTGGTGGTGGTGGTGGTGGTGGTGGTGGTGGGGGTGGTGGTCATGCAAGAATTCTTCAACCGACCCAGTTTGCATGACATGACTGGCAGCCTCATTCATATCTGCTTCCTGACATGAACTTATTCAATACTTGCACTCGGTGAACAGTGGAATTGAACACCTTGTGAAGGAGGTGCAGCGCAAAATGTCTGGCATAGTTGTGTTGACTGAGAATATTCATTGCAACCTGTGGGCAGAAGATGGGAATTTCAAATATATTTTTTCTCCAACGCGTATCAAAAGAACACGCAGCAAGTATTCCGATGGCAAAGGCGTGACGTCCCCCCAGCATTCGGGACTCACAGCCAAAAACATGTCTTGTTTTCGAGTCTAAGCTGATCGGGGTTACAGGAAAACCAAAAGGAATACCATAGTGGTTGTTTCGAAGGGAAACCAACAGGAATACCATGTTAGCTAGGGATTTTTTCCTATATATTGAGACAAACCCACTCACGACAAGCCTCCCTCTTCGTGCCCTGCCTATGTTGGAGCTGGATGTGGTGGAAGTCACGTCGCCTTCACTCGGAAGCGCACAGATTTTGCCGAGTCGCCGCTCCATCCAGAGGGGAGTTCAAACGATGTCGAAGCTTGTTTGGTCGACGAAAATTAGGCGTTTCTCAAACACAGGGACGCTTCATGTACCTGGCTTACTGGCTTCCTCTCAAAACTATCCCAGAAGGACATTGAGTACCTGGGTTGATCTCAAAATTGTGACTGCAAAATGGTGTTCCCCTGTTTCAAGACATACTCAAATGGGTTGATCTCGAAATTGGAAGGGGCCCCCCTTGATGTCCCTGAAGACAATCACAAAACAGGAGACGCTCAGAAAGAGACACACCCAAATCTTGCATCGTGATCAGCTCAAGCTACACTTCCGCGTCAGTCCCCTCCAACCTGTGACTGGGCATGTCAGGGCCGCATCTACTCTGTGTTTCGTTTCAAGTGTGGATGTGGCCCTGGCAGACCCATCTCTTCCGCGGATTGGCCAAAGGTCCGACCCCTTTGGTCACGAAAAAGGCTCCAGACAGTGACTCAGGTTCATTGGTAGGGACCAGCAGCCCGAACCCCAGCGCGTCTTCCAACGGAAGATCCAAACCCCAAGCACGGGGTTGGGTGTCAAAAGGCGGCGGCAGGAATCAAGGGCATCTGGGCAGCTTCGTCGATGCCCTTTTTGCGCTGTTCATGGGAGAGAACAAAGGTGATTCAAACCAGAACTTCCGGAAATCGAAGAAACGTTGAGAACCAGAACACTCTCCTCTGCTTTCTCGCAGGCAATCCCAAGAGCCCTCGAGCAAACACGCGCGCAAGAACGTCGCCTGTACTGGTGGCTTCCTCCACGCCTTGGCGCCGATTCGATGGGCCCATCTTACCCTCCGGGTTTGGGGCCCAGTGCCCTTGGTACACCAAGTAACACTTCAAAGGCCGAGCTTTAGGGCCTAGGTTTTGAGCCCCCCAACCACCAATTCCCGGGCTGTTGAATGGAGGGCTCGGGTCGTTTGTCGAAAGCCCCAGGAGCCTCTGGGTTCGCAAAATGGGCTCGAACCTCGGCTCAACCAGCGTTGAAACTGTAGGAAAATGTGAGCGCCTCAAAGATAAGGAGACCCCCCAAACTGCTCGCTGTGCTTTTGGCTTCCCCCTTGGACCAGCCAAACATCCTCCCAAAAGGACTTCCACACCCCTTTGGGATGGCCGAGACCCCGCTCAGCTGGTGATCACTTCGCCTTGCTGGCTTTGGACTGAGCGCCTGCCTTCTTGGCTGAAGTTGGAGGGCAGTTCTTCTTTCGGTCGACCGACTTCTCCGTTTTGGCCAGCCCTTAACGACCAAAACGGATTTTGGGGCTGCAACATTTTTTGTGGAACTCTTTGACTGCGGTTCTCGCGAGTCTTTGGCCATGAAATGGACATGACCCGTATGCAGTCTGGTGGAGTATTCAGGGGGCGCACGCCCTGGCAAGTGAAGCGTTGCCTCTATGGGACCGATCAAAGTCAACCGGTGTATTGAGTTGACAACTTCTGCGATGCCATGGACCGGTCCGTAGAACTGGGTGTGTGTGTGTGTGTGTGTTTTGCCGAATGAAGCTGGTAGCTTTTGGAGGGGCTGGTAAAACACAGAGTCGCCGACAAACACCCGCTCATGTAAAAACACGTTTGCCTAGTTAGTTTAGACAAGCCCAAACATCCAAATGCCGAGGTGGGATGTTGATCTGGCCGGACAGGCCTCCTTCAAAGGCTCGAGCCCCCAATATTTCAGCCCCTAATTACCACATGTTTGCAGGCTTCCCCAAGAGAACATGAGAAAATTACAGACTCCCCACGTTATGGCCCTCATAGTTTCCCTTGTTTGAGCCATAGGCTACCAGTCATGTCGACACCTCATACCAACAGATCCCGGTGATCTTTACAAATCGCTTTCAAGGGAACGTGCCACGAAACTCGCTCCGGCCATGGCCACGTAACAGCCAACCAGACCTCTGACCCGGAGGTTCGACCATGACAGATTCGGCCTGAAATCCAATTTGCAGAAGCAACATCTCTAAGGCTCTCCAAAGGCACCGCGATTTAATTGGATGGAGTAAATTCCCTCACAACTGCTTGGTGCTTGCACACCATTTCCTTGGGTTGCCGCCATTTGACCCGGATCGCTTCGCAACGGGGGGAACGCTGGCTGCTTTGATCATCAGTCGAGGGCTTTGAGCAACTCTGACTCGAAGATCCCGATCAAACTTCATGAAATAAACTGCCGTATCTGTAAGATCATCGCAACCACGCACCGTTGGCGTTTGCGGGACTCAAACTTCAGGAAACAAAACTGCCGTATCTGCAAGATCATCGGACACACACCATGGGCGGTCTTTTTTTCGGGGGAATCTATTGCAACCGAATGCCATTCTTTTGGGACCTATTTTGATCATCCCAAAGGAACAACAAGCACTCACTCGACCGGATTCCTGCAGATGGTTCTTAGAAAAGCAAAACCTACTCAAATTACCATCACATCAAAAATAACGTTCGATCGGATTCCAGCTGATTTTCTATACAAAAATCAACACTTACCCAAATTTGGACAGCCCATGAGACCCGGGACCCGCACCCGCGTCCCGAGGCGTCACTGCCTTCACCTGCGACCAAGCGGTCCAAACGTAAACGGAAGGAACTGCAAACCCTGAGAGAGGATCGATGTTAATCATATTGATTTTGGAACCCAGAAAAAATAAAGCATCGTTCAACTTTTGGAGCCGGGAGTTTCTCGGTTCCACTTGGCAACTGGGGAATAGCATATTTCATAATATTGTCCCCAAAGGGAACCTGCTGCATGGAATTCTGAACCGTTTTCCCTCGAGGTGCGCGAAATGGCCTTGGAAGGAAAGCAGTTGCCAGGCGTCTTGCTGATCCTGTGTTGTGGGTAGCTAGATAGCCAAGTTCCTGAATTTTTCACTGACTGTTGCTGGTTTTTGGGGTAAAGTGCATGTAAAAAAAACACAGCAACTGGCGATGCAGGTAGTTGGAATAGGGGGGAAAACACGAAATGGCGTCGGTTCTCTTTTGGCTTGTCTTGCGACCCCCTTTCATAGGGTACCGATCCTTCAAACCGGCAAATCGCGGCACCCCCAAACAGGCGGTCTGTGCGTCGCGTGAAACACGTACGTCGCGTACCTCAAGAACAAACAACACAAATGCGAGCCCGTGCTTTTTGTGGAACATGTGGATGTCAGTTTCTCTCCTGACAAGCACATTTTGACTGAACCAAAAAGCTGGGTACCCGGAAAAGGGTACTCGAGCTTTCTTGTGCTTCGATCCTGGTTTGTTTTGTCATGCTAAAGTCATAGTACCAGATGGTATCGTCTGTGGCAGTGGCACTGTCAGTAGCCGTAGCAGTAGCCGCAGCAGCAGCAGCAGTAGCAGAAGTAGTAGTAGCAGCAACAGTAGCTGTTACTAGTATTGATATGTACTGGTACTGGTACCGGCACTGGTCGTAGCAGGAGGAACAAAAACAACTAGTAGGAGCAGCAGCAGCAGCAGCAGAAGCAGCAGAAGCAGCAGCAGCAGCAGTGAGGCGTTCCTCGAGGGCCCGAACTTTGGGTTTTCAATCTCGGCTCCGGCCTCCGGCTCTTTGGCGGGGCGCAGCGCGCCCATCTGCGCAAAGTCCGGGTGGCTGGTGTTGATGTAGGCCATCCTTAAACCAAACTCGGCCTCCTTCGTGGAGTTCAATGGGAACAACAGCTCCATTGGCCATGGGAAAAGGCCACCTTTTTGCTGGTAGACTTAACAGCGGGACAAGCTTCAGCGGGGGAGTCCGATTGTCCCTGCCAAAATTCCAGCGGCATGCTCACTTGTTTTCAAGGCAGAGACACGCGGCCCTAAATCGGATGCCCGAACTTTCAAGGAGAACCATCCAAGAGGGGTTCCACTGCCAAATTGATTTGATCAAACCGAAGCACCGTATCCAAATGGGTTCCACTACGTTGGGTCAAACCCAAGATGGCAACAACCACTGAGTCCGAGCACAACTTGTCCAAAAACAGGGGGGGGGGGGGCACAGCCAATCCCGCACAGAAACAAAGCAATGTCCGCACAATTTCTGTCCTTGGACAAAGAACTTGAATAGCATCATTTCGGCTGGACTTTGTAGCTACCCGTCTTTCCGTCTAAAGATGCGAGGGCCCAAAGAGTGGTTCACAAAAATTCTTATGAAGGGACTAGCATCCTAAAGAAATGCTAGACACCACATCAGGTGCTTAACTATGGCGCATATTGCCGGCTCTCGATGATTGACCATGGCACGTATGGTTGTGTCTTGACTTGAATGGGAGGATCACTAAAAAGGTGCATTTGGCTTGGGTTTCCTCTGTTCAGCCATGTCAAACTGTTGGTATCTTGTTTGGTGTATGTGTGAGTTTTGGAAAGCTGAAAAACAAAAAGGTGCAGAACCGTGCGCTGTTTTTTGGTTTCTGGGGGTGTGGCTCCTGATAAACTTGGGAGTTGGCACCTTCAAACATGGATGTTTGTTTGTCCTTTGCTCCCACAAAAAGGGGTACCGGTACACCGAAAATCAATGTTTCCTTTCTGCCTTTTTCGCACAGGCAACTCGGCTCGGAAAGTTGGCGACAAGGAAACGAGACACTTGAATCGGCCTTTTACGCAACAACCCATTGAGTTTTGTTTAAGAGTTGTGTGATTTAAACAAAATATACTATACACAACAGTGGAATTCTACCATACTTCTTTGTTTCCACACATTGCTTGTAGATTACAAACTCCACCGACTCCGTACACACATTGCTTGTAGATTACAAACTCCACCGACTCCGTACACACATTCCTTGCAGAGTACAAACTCCCCCAACTCTCGACTCTCGACCCACCAAAGGCTCGAAGGCTCTCCAGGCGCCGGCTCTCGGAAGTCTTTGGTCCAAGGGCCCCGCTCAATGGCCACCAGGTCCCGGATCATGGAGGTGGTGGGCTCCAGGCAGCGCCGCAGGATGTCTTTGGCCACCTGACGCGAGCCCAGGGGCCCAGGGGCCCAGGGGAGAGGCCACCTGACGGAAACCCCGAAACCTCAAAACCCCTGAAGAAAAGAAGAGTTTGTTTAGAGATTGAAGTGATTGGTAGCTTTGACTTCGCACAAATAAGTAACTAACTTTTGATAAGACAATAGGACGGAGCCCAGGAGCGCAGGGGGCAGGGGAGAGACCAGATGACCAGACCCCGTGGATACCCTACAAAACGCAAAGAGACGCCAATGCCCAAATTACCCCCACTCACAGCGTTCGTTGGCTTCTGAAGGCACAATGGCAAAAGGCGTTGACTTGAAGAAAACTGTTGAGAAACCCCTCCCCCCAGCGCAAGGGTTTACACGGAGTTTACCTGTGGCACGGACGCGCTCGCCTTTCGCGACCTTTGCGTGGTAGGTGCAACACTTTGGCACATGGTCGGGTGCAGATTTCATGGCAAGCGTTCGTGGCAGGCGCAGCACTTTCGAAAGGCGAGACGCAGGTTTTGTGGCATGTGCGGAAAGTGCCAGGTGCAGATTTCGTGGCAGGCACGGCACTTGGTGGCTTGTTGGTTGTCTGTGCCTGCTTGGCCGCCATCCCGCGCTTGCCGTTTCGGGCCGCGCTGCTGCACCTTCAGTGAGAAAGCAGCTGACATGCCGCTGACATTGCCCTGCTTTCGTGCATGACACGCATCCCGTTTTGGGCTGCGTTCGTGTCGGCGAGTGCCGTGTGAGGCCGCGTCAACGTGGACAGCCGCACGACTACCAAAAAAGGCAAGCCGCTGCAAAGAGAGTCACACAAACAGAGAGGGAGAGACAGAGAGAGAGAGAGAGAGAGAGACAGAGAGAGAGAGGAAGTGAGAGGGGGAGAGCGAGAGAGAGAGAGAGATGTATATATATATATATATACATACATAGTTGTTATATTATATATTTATATACAAAGCGAGAGAGAGAGAGAGAGAGAGAGAAAGAGAAAGAGAGAGTGAGAGAGCACGACACAAAAGGCGAGAGAGAGAGAGAGGCAAAGAGAGACAGCAAGACAGCAAACAAAATCAAACTGTAGTTGTCCCCTTCTTTTGAAACTTCCGCCCCAGGCTCTGCCGGACTTTGGACAAAACACCTAAATGTGTCCTTTCTTTCAGAACCATCGAGACAGGCGGTCCCCAAAAACGCCTCCAATGACAGAAGTCTGGGTTGCCCTGCGCCCAAGACCTGCTGCCGCAGCCGCGCGAAGCGCCGGAACCTCCGATCAAGAAAAAGGGCCAAGGACAATTCACGTGTGTGAGTTGGCTTAGGGCCGGCTGAGGGTGGGTTCAGCTTTGTCTTTGGTTGGGTTAGGGTTCAGGGTGGTTAGGGATGGCTTAGTGCTGGTTTGCTTGGTTTGGACGGGGGGTCAGCGGGTGTTGCGGTTGGTATAGGTTGTGCTTAGGGTTTATTCAGGGTGGGCGTAGGGTGGGTTTAGAGCTGGTTTAGAGTTGGTTTAGGGTTCAGAGCTGGTTTGGGTAGGCATAGGGTGGGTCTAAGGTGTCTGTAGAGAGTAGCTATGGGTTTAGGGTAGTTCAGGGATGATCTATTGCTCGTTTGGTGGGTGAAGGGTGGGTTTCGGATTGGCTTACAAAGGGTGGTTTTGGAGTGGGGGTTCGAGGTCGGTTTAGGGCCAACTGCAGGACGTCACTGTTGGAGGCGGATACATTTTGAGTCCCCCTCGTTGGAGAGAAACCACGTTCGGAAATTGGGCCGTGCCACTTTCGTGACATTTTCACCATGGCCACTAAAGTACTGGGGGTTTGTTTGAAAGCGACCTGGTGGTTCATAGCAGGTGCTCCCCAGAAGTGAAATCACTCCTTGTCCGGCCACGGCCAACTGCAGGACGTCACTGTTGGAGGCAGATACATTTTGAGTCCCCCTCGTTGGAGAGAAACCACGTTCGGAAATTGGGCCGTGCCACTTTCGTGACATTTTCACCATGGCCACTAAAGTACTGGGGGTTTGTTTGAAAGCGGCCTGGTGGTTCATAGCAGGCGCTCCCCAGAAGTGAAATCAGAAAATGGTTGACACCCATATCATAAATCAACTGAGTGGGGGTTTGACTTTATCTTTTGGTTTATCACCTTGCATTTCCTGGTCGATCCGGGCAGTTCAGCTGTACCCCGCAGTTGTTTGGGGTGGATTTGTTTGGGGTTGGGGGTGCCGTTGCTTTCGAAGCCACTGGGGTAGGGAAGGCTTTAAGGTCACCAAACCACTGAAGGCGCCAGTGCTTTGGCCTTCTCAAGTTGGCATTTCCAGGCTCTGTATGGGTTGAGGATGCCACACCATACGCCAAAGTAAGGCAGTGCCCCGTTTGTGTTCTTCTTTTCTGACAGGAGGGCCAGTCTTGCAGCATTTCTTGGTGCTGTAACTGCTTCCGGGATCGCAAAGTGTTGCGTCGCATTAGGAAGTCACCGCTTTTGCGAGTTTTCACGGCTTGTGGCTTTGGCTTTCCACATCAGCACCAGAAACACCCTAGCCGGGCCCCAACATCACAAGCAGCCAGCACCTTGTTTGTAATCGCGACACTTTCCACTGGTGTCCATATTAGTGGGGCCCACTTCTGTATGGGGCCGCTGTTCGGCTTTGTGAGACCTTGAAAAGCAACACCAAACCCGAACCCAACGCTGAACGAACACGACAGAATCCGTAAACCTACCTTTCGGACCACTACCAAAACTAAACCAACCTCAACCAAAACCTAAACCCGCCCAAAGCCCACTCCAAACCAATTCTAAAGAAACCCTGAACAAACTTGAACCTGCTCTAAACAAGGTGATAAACCAAAAGGTAAAATCAAACCCCCACTCAGGATCAACAAATCCCTGATTGATTTAGAATATGGGTGTCAACCATTTTCTGTAAACCAGCAGTTGCTTACAGAGTGCGCAGAAAATCTTCCTTACTTCCGAAACCGGCTGTGCTTGTCCGGCAGTGACGTGCCTTCAACCTTCGTGAGAAACTGATATCGTGCAGCTCTCTTCCTTTCCTTCCAGTTTAGAGGGTACTTCCAGCCATCCCAAACAAGAGCATTTCACCTCAAAACCAGGCTGGAATTAGGACCCCAGCCAAAAAAACATCTGTCTTGCCTGGCTAGTGGAAAACAATTGGACCCCAAAAAAACAATAGGGGAGGGCAACTGTTAGAAAGGCCCAAGCTCACCGCAAAAAAGCAAAAAAACAACAGGGATCCTTACATTTTACACCTGAACATTGCCTTGTAAATGCGGTGTCCCTTTCTTTTTTGCTGGAACAAAAAAAAACATGTTTCAACTGGTTGCAACATGGAGATCTTTTAAGGAGCCCTGAACAAAAAGGGGAGCCACTTCCGGGGAAGCAAAAAGTCCCGGGGCTTCGCTGCCCCGCGAGTTCCGCTTCGGCCCCCGGGCTCCGGCAGCTCTGAGAGCACCAGCACACGCTGCAGCCTCGAAGCGAAACGAAACGCGCGGCGGATGGCCGCAGACGGCGCTTTCAACAACACCTCCAGGCCCAGGCCACGAGGTCCTCCAGATTTGAGAGGTTCGCAGAAGGGCTTGTTTTTTCTGGGTTCGTCGGTTTTTTGGGAGGGGAACGCCCTCCCCAAAAAAAAGGGGGAGAGAAGGAGCGGGGGACCTAGATGACCAGCCGGTCTTCAAAAAAAAGGGGAAAAAAGGGGAGCACTCAACATATGAAGCCAGATAGATAGATGGATGGATGGATGGATGGATGGATGGATGGATGGATGGATGGATGGATGGATGGATGGATGGATGGATGGATGACCGAAAGAGCACGGAAGGTGGCGCAAAAAGGCGTGAGCCGTGTCTTCAGAGCCACTTCAGCCACTTCAGGGGGTTCCTCAAGGTGGGGTTAGACTTAAGGCCACCAACCATAGGGGGTCCAACCATTTCAGGTAAGGCAAGGTGGGAATGAACCCAATCTTTGGTCATAAAGGCAACCACCAGTTGGATGGTTTGTGAGGGGCATTCCATTTCTCATTCCCGGCTAATGATACTGGATGGTTGCGAAATCCACTTCGCACCTAAGACACCCTGGAATGATTCGATTCCCCGGTCAAATACCAAGAAATAATGGTTTGCCGTGGTTTCAACTTGGTGCAGGATTTCGTCCATCAGTATCAAAGATAATTTGAGCTGTTTGGACTCAACATGGACGGAGCTTGAAGGTAGAGTGGTTGCGCTCGCTGAGCTTAGCAAGAAACAAGGTGTTTCTTTCCTTGCGTGTTCGGCGGGCTACTCTGGGTATATTCCAGAAAGCCCATCATCCCAACTCCACTGGTCAGGGGCAAACATTGGTTCGGGAACAAACAGGAGAGGTCAGCAACTTTGATTTTTCCAGACTGTTGCGCCCCTTTAACATTTCTGCCAAACAGGATTCGAAGTGTGGATGGACGAAATCTTGAATGCCAAAGTAGTATGGATGACAATCTATTGCTGGGACGAACCCACCAATCTGAACTGGCGTCTCGCGCGGATTTCCACAGTATTTCCATCCGTGTCTGTGTCTGTGTCTGTCTGTGTCTGTGTCTGTGTGTCTGTGTGCGTGTGTGTATTTGTATGTGTGATTGTACGTGTGATTGTGCTAAGTGTCACCTGCCGTGTGTCACCTGCCCCTCCGACTGAAAATAAAGGGCACCTCAAAAGTGAAAGGAAGGAGCTCAATCTTGAAACGCGTTGTATGAAGCGTTCATCTTCTCATTTCACTTTGTTGCACCAAAGTGCTGGTTGGGTTTGTCTTCGTCCCAAAGCTATCTTGGCGCCTGGCTCGTCGAACACCAGTTCGGCACATTGAATCGAAGGCGCCTGGCGAGTGATTCCTTGCTCCTGACTGGGGCTCTATGTTTGTTTTAGACTTGGCATGTGCCGTGACTTTTTTTTACAAGTGCCGATTGACCAGCAGCTTGCACTGTCCCGTTTCGTATTTGCCTCTAGTCCAAAGATCCGCATTTGAACTGTTTGGTATGGAAAACAACATTTTCCACGGGGATAACAGAGCCTACAGCAAAGCGGCCGTGAGACTGACCACTTCTATCTTCCCGAGCTTACAGCTGTAGAGTATTCTGTGTTCGCTTTCTTAGTCCAGGATCCTGAATCGTGACAAAGCACTGGCATCCTCCTTGAGCGTGCTTTTTCGGTCCCGGCCAATGTTCCCATGCAGCATGTCAACTCGCACGTCGCTGGGAGCTCGCGCGAGGATCATTTTTGGGTGTGGCTGTCCCAAGCGCAGCTTGGATGACGTCGGGAAAGCAGCGTACAAAACGGGGTGCCGACTGGCAAGGCAATCAAACGGGCCCCGAATAACTTTCAATCACTAGGGGCAGAAAGAAAATGGGTCCAACTGGAGCCAGATTTAAAGATAGTTGCTTTTGAAAGTGAACCTCCCACGAAAATCCAAGAACAAGAACAAGTAACAGCAAACACATGAGCAGAAATGCGCCATCCCCCTCACACAGGTCGAGAGGAAAGGAGTGCGATCATCCACGCTCGGAGTCTCTGGATTCTTTCCCTGGAACATGAGTTCCATGTTTCGAGGCTCGATGACAGTTTGCTGATTGGGTGGGGGAAGCAGGGGGGATCGGCTCTCACCCCCAACTTGAGCCCCAAATTCCTTGTTTCTCATGGCGTGTTTAACTTGTTTTGGCGCCTCTTCTCGTCTACCAAGAAACTTCCAGCAGCCATTTCTCATTTTGACATTGAAGCGCGGCTCCCTTTCCGAGAGAAGAGACATACTGTGGATGGACGAAATCCATTTCGCACCACTTCGAACCCACGGGACACCATTGTTTGCTGGTATTTACCAGAGAGTCGAATCATTCCATGGTTTTCTGAACGGTGCGAAATGAGTCATAATCAAAACCTGGTACTAAAATGGTCTACCCAGAACCATGTAAAGGACTAAGAAGGAGGAGATCCGCAGCTATTTATGGTTGGGATCGCCCCTTACTAACCTTCATCTACCCGAATCGGTTTTGATTGCAAATGGATTTCGCCACCAACCACCAGTAGAAAAAGGGGACAGCTTTGCACTTCCATTGGAACGCGTGGATCGCCTGCCTGAAAATGGGAGGGTTTCGAGGGAAAGCGCTGCGAGTTTATTTCGCAGAAAACGACCAAAGCACAGCAGCTACCCAGGGAACCTTTCCTTGAAACACCACCAAGGAATACCCTCGAAAACAAGGGAAAGGAAACCCGAAACAAAGTCCCACTGTTTCGCAGAAAACAATAGCAAATAACCGAAACCACGAAGGGGTAGTCTCAAAAAACAAACAACCCAGGGAAAGGAAACCCGAAACGAAGTTGAAACCAACCAACCCAACAGATCTGCCAGCTCCACCTGCAGCTTTGCGACCTGGCGCCTCACCAACTGCTCGAAGGCGGCCTGAACGGCACGAACCGCGCCGCTGGTTTTGCCGAAAAGCCGAGCATGCGCCGCTTCTTTTTTCGGGGAAGCCCCGGGTTTCCCTACAAAAGGGTACTGGAATCCGCCGAATCCCCGTTTTGTTCAGGGAATCCCCCAAAAAGAGTACTGCCCTCAGACCATAAACGCACACACCAGCGACCCAAAGCCAATGACAACTTGCAGGTTTTGCCTTTCCTGGTTGCAATACCCATAAAGTCCCCCGTACTCTGGCACCCGGACCGCACAGGCAGCCAACAAGACGCTGCGGCTTTTCCGCGATCCCCTCCACCCACCGCAAGCTGCCTCGGGCACGAAGAGCTTTGCTTGTGGCGCCGTTGCGTTCCGAAGAGCTGCCCGAATCTCCTCCTCGGCCAGAAGACCACACACATAGGTACAACAAAGCCACACATGCTCAAAACACGCACACATACATGCAAACATGAGCCCACACCTGAACAGTGGAAACATGGCCATCTACGTGTGTGCTGTTGTGTGATCAACTGTGCATGTGATATGTGATATGTATATTATGTTTATCTATCTATATATATATATATATCTGTGGATGCATATCCGTATGTGTATATATATACATATACATGTATATATATATATATACATAATTATACATACCATGTATAAATATAAATCTATATATATATATATTATGCTCGTGTGTAGGCCCGTGTATAACCGGCGCATTCCATGATATGCTTGTTGACACTAGCCTCTACTCACACCCCCATCCCTCTCCACTGCCGGAACTAGGGGGCACACCATGTGAACCAGTTAAGTTTGGACCCAAACAGGTCCAGTGAGCGCCCGTTTCACTCATTGGCTTTTGGCTATGCCATAGATATAAAGGTGTAAATAAATGCATCAAGCCAGGTAGAACCACCTAAAGTGGCAAATGGCAATCGGTATTGCTTGCTGCTCAAGTGAAACTACACTAGCAATCCGATTCAAGTCAAGTGCAGGCAGTGCAAGCCCGAAGAGGGACGGACGTTAAGCTCAACATGCGCAATTGAGACAAGCATTGACCCTGGGGTTAGAATCTTTGATTTTGGTGGAACCTCTCCCTGAGAAGCAAGTATAGTGACAAACTCGCTCTGCGTGTGACACGAGAAAACAAACAAAAACAAGGAACAAACAACACGTATAATCTCAAAAACTCTTGAGGGCTGGATTTGCCGCCAGTGTCTCCCTTCTACCCTTCGCTGAACTTGGGATCTCACGTCTGTGAGACCCGCGAAGCTGTCGTATTCTCGAATGGTCCTGGGCAGCGAACAAAACGTGCGCGCACCATCCATAAACGAAAATACGATATGAACGCCTGATTTTGATTTTTTTCTCTCCCTTGGCAAGTGTGTGTGTGTGTGTGACAGGTTTCTTCAACGATTCCCACTGGAAACCACACCCTTCAGGGATCCATGGACGGCCAGTTCCAGGGCATAACTGAGCCAGCTTCCCACGCCTTGAAACAATCAAGTCCCTATAGGAGTTACAAGAGCGTCCGGGCGCCCAGATGGCACTATGACTGAAAACCAACTGATCGTATTGGGTTCAACCAGCCTGACCCAAAAACACCCAGGCTTCCCAGCTTCCGATCCTTGCTGGAAATCACCCTTTGCGAAGGATTGAGCACCTGCCTGGTTCGCCCCTAGCCGGCACCCTCCCACACAGGCGCGGTTTTTGAGAATCAGTACCCTCGTTGGGGTTGTCCGTTACCCAAAGAAAAAAACCACTTCAAACTCACTTGCCCACAGGCCCATAAACCAACACCTTATTATTTTCCTTGACGACAACAGTTGCCTACCCAATTGGTTGTTCCTCGCTCTTTGCACCCCATCTGAGGCAATGCCTGGTTCTTGGCAGCTTGACTTGGCTGTCAGGAGCTGATGTGTCCAACTGCTGTTTTGAGTCGATGCTGACTTGATTTGTGGCTGGTGCGAAGGGAACACACAATGCCCCCCTATTTACTGGAAAATGGCCTTAAGTTTTTTGTCTTGCTGGTTCCCAGCAGGCAATGAGAAATGGGATGACCTCTTTTTCAACCATCCCTTGTGACTTCCTGGTCCAAAACCAGTGGGTCATGGTCCAAAACCAGTGGGTCATGCCCAGTCCAAAACCAGTGGGTCATGCCCTGAGCCAGCATCCGTGTGAGAACCGTGGCTTTGCTCGAGCCTCGCAAAGACGTCCCGGAAGAGGTAGTCGATGCGGGCCCGGCCGACCAGCTGCCCAGGAGGGCCCTGCGCTTTTCAGAAGCGAGTCTCGTGGAGAACCAAACGGCACTCCGAAGAACTTGCTGTTTCTCAGCAGGGAATGAGAAATGGAATGACCTTCCACAATCCCCTATGGTTTCCTTAAAGAGAAGCCCTAGGTTCCTTCCCAACACCCTGGGTCATTCCCTGCCACGCACCAGCAAGACAACTCGATATGACAAAAACAAGTAGGGAAACTAAATTGTCGACAAAGAAAGGGATCAGGCTCAAAGAGAATCCCGAATCCGAAGGGAAGTGCAAAACGACCCTAAGTCTGGATAAGGTCGGATAAGGATATTAGTTTCCGCTTTTTGCCAGATCCATTGCTCACTCGTCCCAGCACGAGCTGTGGGGAAGAGTCGCTCCCCTCTAGCCAGGGCGCCCAAAGCAGCAAAATTAAAATCCCCACCCGGCACCATCCGTGACTCTGCCCCATGCCCAGCCCATGTGCCCATCCGGTTAGGGGCACCCGCAAAATCATTGGTCTCCATTTGGCTTCCCTTGAAAGCAACAAAAAGGGGTTCCCTCCAAAAACATATTCCACGCGCCCCCCCCCCAAAAAAAAAAAGAAGAAGTGCCCTTTGGTTTCCCTTTCCAACCAAACTCGCGCTCACCCCCCACCCCCCCCGCCCCTCGGCTCCTCCAGGGGTTGCGCGGACAGGCGCCCCTCCACGGTGTCCCCGAAGCGGCCAGCGAACTTTGCGAAGAGGCTCAGCCTCGATCGCGGAAGACATCTAGGTCCTACAGATTTGAAAGGCTAGAATAAGTTGGTACCAACTTTTTTCGGTTTTGTCTATTGTAGAGAGGTTAGAATCAGTAGGTATCCACTTTTTTCTTTTTTGTTTGTTTTCTTTTTTTTTTGGGGGGGGGGGGTTGTCTATTTTAGTAGGTGAACCCTCCCAACCAAAAAAGGGGTGAGAGCTCGGGCACCTAGCTGGGGGACGAGACATTTTTCGGACTGAAAGGACTGGAAGGAGTGGAAGTTTCATGAACCTCCCTGGGCAATGTTGACCGTATATTTCTGAACCAACCTGTTTATTCATCAGGGTGTCCCTGGGTGTGGAGAAAATCAGACCACTTTTGGAGGGGCCAAAACCACCCCCTATTGCTAAACTGGGGTTGATTGGATCAACATTAGACCAAAATGGGGTGGAATTGAGTCATCTGTGACGAGGGCCAAAGTCTACTGGGACTCACAAACATTGCTTCGGTCGGTCATGACCATGGTGACTAACCACCAGGTACCCTGCCATATTTGCAGGGATGGGTCGTGTTCCTGTCAGATTGCGTGGCCAAAAACAAGTGGTTTTCCCTTCGGTCTCCCTTTGAACAATTGCCAAAACGCGACAACCCAAAGGAAACCCAAGGACGGGTGGGGTGGAGTTGATTTGCCAAAAAAGGACCGGGGCTTCTGTAAAAACAGCAGCACGTTGTCAACGAGTCAGAACACCTACGGCAAACTCAAGCAACACTAAGGATAAATGGAGCTTCGAAAACCCTGGAACCCTTCCGCAAAACGAAAACTCTCGGAGCCGCTCCGAATCACTCCAGACAACCCAAAGCTTTGCTGGGGAACACCTGAAACGAAGACCGCAATGACAGGGGTCCCAACAAGGACCCCCGTTTGGTGCACCCCTGCAGATCAGAAGCAACCGACAACAAGTCCACCTACTTTTGGCCCGCTTTTTGGGTTCCACGTTCAAGTTGCAAGGGGAAACCTGGCTTGGGCTTGGTTCCAATTTCAGTTGGAACTCCCAAAAGTTGTCTTTTACGTTGGAATTCCTTTTCAGTTGCAACCCTCCAAATTGGTACGCCTGTGGAGGTTCACCAGAGCTTCGGGGATTCGGAGCTGAGCTGGCCACAAAAGCGCGCCTTTCTCGCCAGTGCTCTGACTGGCGAAGAAGCGCTCATTGTCATGGACAACACTTTGAGCCACGCGTGGCATTCTGCGCGCGTCAATGCGACTGATTCCCACTGCGTCTTTGAGGCTCTGCGGACAATCGCTAAATCGCTAGATGCTTCCAAGGGCGTTCCCTGGGGTTCAGTGGGGGTTTACTGCGGGCAAAGCCAACCACCAGATCATTCAAGTGAAAGTAAAGCTGGCAGAGCCGGGGGGAGGGGGAGTTTGTAGTATGTCATAAGAATTATACTTGTCTTTCTCTGTCTCTTTCTTCCCTTTCTCCGTCCCTTTTTCATTATGTTCGTTGTTGTTTATGTTCTTTGTCTTCTTTTCTCTTTCCTTTCGCAGTCTATTGCTTTCTGTTCTCTTTCATTATCTTCCCTTCTTCTTTCTCCTTCTCCTTCTCCTTCTCTTCTTAGCTTATTTACTTGGCTCTCACTTCGCTTACTTAAGACTTACTTAGTTAGCTCTGGCTCCGCCACAGTGGCACGGCCACAAAAGCTGCACCTGACGCTGCGAAAGCCAGCCCTGCGCCGGTCAGGTCATCTGTGCCTCCGATTGCCAAAGTGTCGCTCACGCCCCGCCACGGAAAATCCGCAGGTGTACTGCGTCCGTGACAATAGGATTTCCAAAGCGGCATTCCAGCGTTGAAGTGCTGCGCGACCGAACCTTGAAATCCAGGCCAAGCGGGTTATTTGGGGCACTTGAAAACCGAAATGAGTCAGAGAATCAGGTGTGTCATTCTGTATCGCGGTGTTTGTCAGGATGGCGTTGGCGACGGGTGAGGTTTGGCTCAAGGTAGAGATGTTGGCAAAGCACCAGGTACACGTAGTGCGTGTTTTTCAGCAATGGGAACTGTCATCTGCGCTTCGGACGGTCGGCTCTTGCGCAAATTTCGGTAAAGCAATTGAGTAGGCATTGGCACTTCTGTAGATCTATATATCATGAAACTAACATCGGAACACGCACACACACACAGACAAACAGCGCTTGATACTTTTCTGTCACCTAAAATTCGTTGGACCTAAATCCACATGAGGGGTTCCAGACCCCCATTGGCAATGGGAAAACAGGGAACCCTTGTTTCTTGTTTTTTTGGGTGAAGGGGGCCACTCTCTCCAAACAGAGCTGAACAAATGAAGCAACCCGCTGGAAATCTGGGTCTCTCCGGACTCCATGGCTTTGGGGTTTGCTGCCCCCTCCGGTGGCACATCACTATTGAAACCAGTCTGACCCGGAACAAACACACACACACACATGCAGTTGTTTCCTCCTCCCCCCCTCTCCCGCCCTGACGCTTGCAGGCCCTGTGGGTGCAGGAACACGTATTTCTACACACGACGAGCTTAATGCAAATGGCGCCTTGGATCCGATGAATCGCTGAAGGAAAAACCAGTGCGGAGCCCACATGTTTCTTGTTTGTGACCTCCATTTGCGGAGAGGTCCCCGGACAAAAATCGAAATTCCACTAGTGAGAGATTCCCTTTAAAACCAACAGGGGAAAATAAATAATATTCTTCACCAAATTGGTTAGGTGCAAACCACCATTTTAACGCGAAGCCACATGATAATCTGTGGAAAAAATTGGCCCCTGGCTCCCTGGCCAACATCTGGAGACGAAGCGGCCTGTCCAAAGGCTCGCCGTAGCCCTGCAACTCCGACCTCGGCGGTGGCACCCTGGCCCTGGCCGTTTGGCGGTTGCTTAAAAAATCGCACGGGCTGGCTCAAAACCAAACAGGAGGGGCAAACCGCGGGTTTTGGAGTCCATGTTTCCACTTACCAGGGTTCCATTTTGGTACCGGTTTTTTGAGCCACAGCCACACCTCAGAGCAAAAGGGCTCGCAAACAACCCAATGGGCAAGCGTTCACAAAGGCGATTGAGTCCAGTGCTCCAGCTTGTGACACATCTGCTGCGCCTGCGTGGCCGCAAGGAACTTGCGAGTTCATGTTCTTGGGTTGTTGCAAAGGCAAACCAAAACGGCCAAAGCTGGCGGCAACCCAAAGCCAAACGAAAACAACTACGGAGCCCACAAGTTGGTCGAGACTCTGAGAGGCGATGGTAAGCCAACAAAAGGCGTTGGAATCGCAACTTGTTCGTGCGCTTGGCACATGACTCTCCAGCATATGGCGAACCAAGCGATATAAATTCATAAGCTAAAAGTATCGGATTTTCTTGAGAGTCCCCTCGCGGTTTTTGTGGTTTCAAGCACTTTCAGCTGTGTCCAGGTGCGGACTTTGCTTTTCGAAACGTAAACTCTGACGCTTCACATGTTCCAAACAAGCTCAAGGGAACCTACGTAGAGTTGGTATGTTTCAAGCTCACCTCAGAGGGGATCTGACCCCTGCAAATCTAGCCAAAATCATGGAACACAGGGAAACAAATGAGCGCGCATCGTTGAAAAGGATGTCCAGGGAAACAATTGAGCGGCTAGCTCTCTGGATATCTAGCTACTGTCTATCTATCCGTCTATCCATTTATTACGCGGGGCTTCCATGCGTTACTATGCTTTGACGCGGGTCTTTGCTCGCCAAAGCGCCGTGCATAGCAACCGCTAGCCTCGCACAGGACTTTGCGAAGCGTCGAAGCTTCCGGGAAGAGCCGCCGGGGCCGCGAAAGCAATTTGGCGCTCCAGGGCTTGGGGCTGGGGATGTTGCCCAGCCCCGAATGTTGCAATTTGCGAAATGTTTCTGTTCGAAGTGTAGCTCTGGCACTCTATGTCTTATCTGCGTTTCGCAGAGCTTCCAGGGAAACTGCTCGAACACTTTCAGGTCAAGCTCCCCGCCTCAAGTAGATCTAACCCTTCTTTGCGCCTGCGAGCGGATGCTGGGCAACACCTCGCAGATCTTTTCCAGCAGAATCCTCTCGAATAGAAAGGCGATGAGGCCAGCAGGGTTCGCAGGTGTCGCGTCTACTAGGTCCTCCAGTAGAGAGGTTAGAATAAGGGTACCAACTTTTTTCTGTAGTCTATTTTAGTAGGGGAACCCTCCCCCAAAAAAGGGGTAAAAGGGCACTACGCGGGGACCCAAATAAAGAGAGCCCGTTTTGGGGTGGTTGAAAAGGCACACCTACAGAGCACGCTGGCACTTGAAAATCAACAGTTTCCCAAAAAGCTAAACTCCAAAGATCCAACCAATTAGATCCAGAGATCCAAAGATCCATAGATCCAAAGCTAAACTTCAAAGATCCAACCAAATAGCAATAAAGGCGGATCGGCTTCTGATCACTGAGCCGAACTGTTGCAAGAAACAATTCCCTCGGTCAGAACGGACCTTTTCGCACTTCCGATCGGGTGGAGTGGCCACAAAGAAATCCAAGCTTTGTATTTACGACTAAAATGGTCTTCCCAAAACGTACGAAGTCCAGGAACTCAGGGAGTGAGTTTCGGAACCCTGTCAACGAGGACCCCAGCTCGATTCGCTTAAATGAGAAATGGGAATCCGAACTCCCAACGACCAAAATGGGGATGACCTCATATAAAGGGGTTGAACCTGTTGGACATCAAAATGAGTACCCTTTTTGGATCTTTTTGGGCATGGTTTATGTGGACCCACCTTTAAAAGAAGTCCAAAAAGGGGTCCATATATTTTTGACAACCCTCTATGGAATTGTGCCCATCGAACTTCACAGCTATCCGTCTGTCTCCCCAATAGACCGGGATGGCAAAGGCTAGCCTGCAGGTTTGGGTTGGGACAATCCCCCGAACCTTGTGAGGCTCTACCAGGTTCTGCCAATTGTTTGCACCACTGTTCACCGAGGCAGCAAGAAATGCTGAGCAAACCAATCACATGCAATCCATCCAAGCCGGTCCGATCCAATCCAATCCAGCTGCACCCCTTTGCCTTTAGGGTCAATAGGTCCTTCGGCACTCAGTCCCATGTTTGTCACCCGGCCTGACCCCCCCAAACCAACTCGCACATCCGGTTGGTTGGGTCTGAATTGGACCATCTGGGTTACGCAACCTTTTGGCTTCCCTTCAAAGATAAACTAATGTCCGGTTGGAACTCATCTTCGGCGCAGTCTGGGCGCAACTTTGGTTCTGTGTCACCCCTAAAATTGTACATGCCATTTTGGTTCCCCTCAAACCAACCTCCAAACAACGCACCCTCCAACCCATACACATGCACACACCCATGGTACAACCACGGCCCAGGTCCCTCTCCTGTGTAGCAGGCTCGATAAATGCCGGACCCCGCAGCGGCGCGCTGGACCCTTGTGGGTCAGATTTTTGGGGCGACAGGTTTTTGCTGGAATGCGATTGGTTTCAGACAGACTTGCTTCCGAGGGGCTGGAGGATGAGTTTGGGTAATTAAGACAGACACATGGGTTGTGCTTGCATGGGATATTGGCTGCCCCCAGAGATTCATGCGTCCATGCCCCCTTCGTTTTCTCTTTAAGCAAACTCTGCAAAAAGTACAAACTCCAAAAACATCACACCCCCGCCCTTGGGCTGTCCCATTGAAGGCTCCTTCAAAGGAAGAGCTTCCGAAAAGCAAAAGGGTTGTGGGGGTAAAATGGGTGTATCTTTATTTGGGGGACGCCCAACAAATGATTTCGGTTTTCCTTGTGGTTTCCGTTTGAAACCACCCACACAAGGAATACCGACTCCAAAGAAGACGAGCCGCCCAAATAGGACCCCAACAATGGTTCTACTTTTGGCTTCCCTACGGTGAGTCAAGGGCACCGAGCCTCAAGACAGCCGCGACGAATTCGGGGATGCGGGCCCTTTTTTTGGAGACATATATGCGACATATCCACTGTTCCTGCCGTTTGGTTCCTGGGCAACCCACTTAGGAAAAGGGTGACTTCCACTTGCTTGTTTTTGCCCTGTTGGTGTCAAAGGGAGCTTGAGCCACTATTGCAGATATGTTTATTCCTGGGCAATAGAAAAAGGGCAACTTCTATTTGCCTCAGAAGATGTGTGTTGTTGTTTCCCCTGTTGTTTTTTTGAGGGGAATCTGTCACTCTCAGAAGTATGTTGATTTTGCTCAGGGGACATAAGTAAATGCGCAGGAATCAACTCCTCCTGAAACCTAGAAGCCAGTCGAACGTCCTTCAGAAACCAATCACATTCCGGAAAAATCTGTCCAACCCCTAAATTGCGGTCAATTTCCCAGTTTCCCCTAGAAACCGGTCAAGTCCCCTTAGAAACCGGTCAATGTCCGATCAACTGTCCCTCAGAAACCAGTCGAATTCCAGCTAAAACCTGTCCCAACTTCCCCTGAAAACCGGTCGAATCTACCCTAGACACCTGACAAAATGACCCTAGGCACCGGTCGAATCTACCCTAGAAACCGGTCCAGAAATCGGTCAAATTTCTTTTGGAAATCAGTCAAAATCCCCAAACCGAGTTGCCCCTCAAAAGCCCCCGCTATGCCCATTTATTCAGGCCCCAACTTTGCCAAGTCATGTCGTCGCAATTTGCGAGTTGCAAACCTAGTGTTACGGGGGTCTACCTGACCACTCAGCATCATGTGTTTCGTTCGGATCTGCTTGGGATCATAATCCGGAGTATGAACTGCATCCTCTTGAAACAAAAATCCTTTTGGCTCTAAGAGGGTTTCCACTCTTCCGAATGGAGTTTCTAGACATCATCGGGCTTTGGGCTCCATCTTCTCTTGGTCTATAGCAGAAACCCGAAACCCTCGATTGCCTTGCGATCGCATCTCCAGAGATTTGGCCCATGGCTGATGCCCATGTTTTCGATACCATTTCCGGGTGACGCAAAGGGAACACCCCGTTTCGGGGGTTCTCAACGAGCCTGGGGGCCCGGAAGCGAAAGCTTCCGAGCCAAAAATTCGTGGGCTTGTGGGACCCATGGTGTGGCTCAACACTTGAACGCCACACCGCAGGGTTCTTAGTCCACCTTTCCATTTGCCTATTTCTGAGCCGAAGCCGTTTTCAGGGCCAGCATCTCTCAGAAAATCCGTCATTTCCACGGATACAGCCGACGATTTCCCACGGGAAAGTCATCGAGGGAGTTGGCCCTAAACAGGCAGAATATGTGAGTGAACGACCTGTCTGTGGCTCCAATAGAAAATCCTGCCAGCCTCAACCAAAACGTGAAAGTCCAAAGCTCCGCTTTCACATAGTCTAGGTCCTCCAGTCGAGAGGTTGAATAATCATTTACCCATTTTTTCTGGTTTGTCTATTTTAGTAGGGGAACCCTCCCCAAAAAAAGGGGAGAGAAGGGCACCTAGCTGGAGGACCTAGACAGGATATCCGAACCCTCCAAATCTACCCTTAATGGCACATTGCCCCCAGGACATAATGCCAAGTAAATTTTCCCAAAATTTGCCGGGTTGGAGGGCCTAGTAGCCGAAAAGAACCACAGGCAGAGAACTGCCGAGCCTTGAAGACGGCATGCTCCCGAAAGAACTTCTCCTCGGCTGCTTGATCCACAGCCTCCTGGCATGTTCACCGCAAGCCAAGGACACCAACCAGCCGCAAACACTTGGCTGACGTGGGAAGGGGAGCATTTTATTTCTTTAAATATAAAATCTACAAATTTTAGCAGCTCAGTGGTTGTATTTCAATTTCCCCACTCAACCACGACAAGCCAAACTGTAAAAAATGTGTCCCAAGAACTAACCCATGAACACCCGCTGAAGAAAAACAAATGCAACTGGCCTACTATGTGCTGGGAGACTCCACTCCGTCGGGCCCTTGCCTTGCAGACCACCCCAACGAAGCCCAGCGCCAGCCTGTGCGATACCGCGCATCGCGCACCGCTGGGCTGCCCGCTTTTCGGATCCCCCGGCTAGAACTTTTAGTGGGTGAAATACGGAAACTACCACGAAAAACACTAAAAAGATCAGGAACTGCATGGCTGAGAGCCACCAAGTTTTGAGACCGAATCGATCCAGAAACAGGGAAAGCTGCCCCAATCAGCAGGGCAATTCTCGAGTTTTTGGAGGGACTTGGGCGGTGGGGTGCTGGAAAAGGCTGGCAATCCCCAAGCCAAACCGTTCACCCATTTTCGAGCAACTTGAGGGTGTCTCTTTTTGTTAAGGGCACCAACTTGTTTCGCTTTGAAAGCAACACCCAACGGAACCACCAAATGCCCCCATTGCTTCCCCACTCAACTGTGCTTTGGTCCATGGGTTGCCATTGCTTCGGGTTTTGCGGGGGGATCTCAAAGCATCCCGTCATCCCATTTTGAAGTGGATTTCCATGGGAAAAAAAAAAGATCGGCATCCTGTTTTGGTTGGTTGACTTTACAGGAATTGGAACCCTTCCCCAAAAAAAAGTTGGAAACAGAAGGCGGAATCCACTGGCTAGGTCCTCCAGTAGAGAGGCTAGAATAAGGGTGCCCTTTTCTCTGTAGTCTATTTTAGTAGTGGAACCCTCCCCCAAAAAAAAGGGGAGAGAAGGGCACGACTCAAAAACCTAGACAGAGTTGAGGCACTGAGGCCTTGGCGGGTACACTTTGCCCTCAAGCACATCGGCGGCTGAAGCCGCAGCTTGGGCGGCCAAATCCTGAAGCGAGCGGATTCATGGGGGTGGGGTAAAAACTGGGCGACCCCCCCCCACAACGGGAGTCGCGTCCGTTTCCTCCATTTATGTTTTCGTCCCCTGGAAAAATGAGAAAATATGTCCAGTAGTGATAGATTCCCTTTGAAACCAACAGGGGAAAAGCAACTATTCTCAACCAAATGGACGTTTTGGTTTTCCCGTAAACATCACTTAAAAGGGGCCCCCCAAACAAAATTTACAAACCCTAGTGGGATGACTGACAACTCGCCATTCCAAAAATGTGACCCCCCCCTCAGGAAGGAAGGGAGTTGGGTCTTTGGGTCGTAATTACCGTACCCCCTTTGCAACAACATTTCGCGGGGTGAGCGGGTGACACCAGCTTCCAGTTTGAATAATGTTGACCCGGGATTAATAGACCCCTGTTTATTAATATGGGGGTGTTCCCCTCCAACAGTGATAAATCCCCACTAAAACCAGGGACACCCCCCTATTAATGAACAAGGGTTTACAAATCCGGGGTCAACATTATGGAAACCACCAGTCTTAATAGGGGAAATCCGGTGAACCCAACCTGAAAGCCGAGCTCTGAGCTGCACACCATCTTGGTGAGGACACCCAGGGTGCGCTCACCCTTCGGATCCACCTCCAGGTTCCAAGCATATGGCCCTGGTAGATGCTTAAACCACCTGGTAAACCAGGGCCATCAATGGTTTGCCACAACAACCAACAAGGACACCTATAGTTCCAAGGCAAAGGCTCGGCTTTCACGAGTTGCCGTCCTGCAACCTTTTGGTGCACGCCTGGGATTGTGCCCGGATCTTGGTGCCTTCACCAGAGCACACTTGGTAAGTGTGAGACTGGTTTGGTTCTGGCAGCCTGAAACCCCGACATCCCCGGAGCTTTGCGACTTCTGGATATGTGGCAAATGATTTCACCCAAACTCAAGGCAGATTGGCTCCATCCATCGATGCTTAGACCAAACCTGATCTAGTCAAACCTTGCTACTGCTATCAGCTTTCAGCACTATAGTCCAACGTGTTCAGTGGCATCAGTCCCCTTGCCTCCCGCGCAAGGGCCAACGAGTCGGCGGTGGCGAGATCGGCATTTGCCGCCGCCACCGCCAAAATCAAGCATTGCCTCGCGATCGAGCGCGGGGTCGTGGGCAACAGGCTGGTGCCCGAATTGAAGCCCACCTGGACCGACTTGTGCGACATTGCACTGGGGCATTTCCAAATTCCAAAGGGAGGTTCAGGGCCCAGGCAGATGACCACCTTTCTCGATGAGGTAGGATCAGGGTGCACACGTTCGGACTTCAGATTGACAAAATGATAAACCGCTCGGCGGGGGCCAACAGGAGCATCTTGTCCACATCTTTGAGAGGCACCCCACATTCAGCTGGACTGTTGTCCAAGAAGGTCGTCCAGGTCCTCCAGATTTGAGCGGTTAGAATAAGGGTACCAACTCCTTTTCGGTTTGGTCTATTTTAGCAGGGGAACCCTCCCCCAAAAAAGTAAAAGGGCACTACTGGGGGACCTAGTAGTCTAAGAAGGATCACCTTGCTCCCATTGGTGGTCTTGACGTTTCAAGCATCGCAAAATTGAACTGGCTGTCGGCTGAACCATGTGAAAGGGACAAAGTGCTGCAAGCAATTTCACATCCGCCGTGCCCTTTGTCAAGCAGCATGCTCAGGCACAGGCGGGTTCTGAATGTGGCTGAGGATCAATTGGCCTGAGCAACATTCAGCACCTCTTCTTGAAAGTATGATCATGACAAAAGCGAGTGCAAGAATTGGAACCATTTCTGTCCCTATGGAAGTCAATAGCCATTGAGGCCTGTTGAGCCATCCATACTCCACAGGAGCAGCTGCCAACGTGTCTCCGCGAATGCATTGTTTGATTTTTGGTTCACACGCACACACTGAACAAGGCTGTGCGTTTTTCTTTCAAGAACCCTGGCACAAACAACTGTACATGTTTGAATATTGGACACTTAAAGAGAGATAGGCAAATGCACTGCCTGCTAGCTCTAAAGCCTGCCCTAAGACAAACTACCAAACTAGTTTGACATCAACAAACTCCAAACCCATGCCACGGGACACCATGTTTTCTGAAAAACAAGAAAGAAAGAGGAATCACATGGACCTGGCTCAGACTCCTCCTTGTTTTTGTATTTTTGTGTTTGATCCCTATGCGTGTGTTTGAGCCAATGCATGCGTTTGAGCTTCGTGCTCACACCTGCAGGGACACAAGTGCAGATTTTGAGGGTTCCACTCAACTTTCGCGAGAGCAAACAAACTGGATTTTGGTGTTCCTTTGACAGCACAAAAAGGGGGTACCGAGCCTCAACGAAAGGAACCACACCCAAAACAGGAACGGATCCCGTCTCTGCCAAGTCGCGGATCTGCAGCTCAATGTCCTCGCAAATGGGTTTTGGAGGTACGGATCGGCAAACTGTTTAGGTCAAGCTGAAAGGAGGCCCCAAGCAATCATCTGCATCATGGTGAGCTCGTTTTACCCCATCGGTGAGCTCGCTATAGGCAGCTGGATGCTATACCAACATAAGCTCGAAATGCAGTACCCTGATAAGTTGTATAGAAACCTCCACTATTTCCAGCAGCCATCCCTGGAAAAGCCCTTGCATCAAGTGCCTACACCCCTGAGAGGTTCCATTTTCGCAAAACATGGCCAGAGTGACCCCCTGAAGTCCCAACTAAGCTCTTGGGATCACCGCATCCTGGGCGTGTGCCGCTGTTCTAGCCTTCCAGGGTGGGGATTCGGAAGGGCGTGTTGAGTGCGATGGGTAATCGCAGGATCGCCCAGTTGGGGTAGAGCCTCCTTTGCTGAAACATGTTGAAACCAAGTTCGTTTAAACGACCTCGCTTTCGCTCCCCTCTAAAAAACCAAGAAAAAAACACTCGGCCAACAAGTCAATGACAATGGCGGAAATCGTATGGAGGTTGACCCCTCAGTCCTTTCACCCTCGTTCTTTTGAGACGCCATACCATGAAAAGCAACCCTGGATGCATATTTACACGGCCCCCCCCCTTGCCTTTGACATGACCTGATTTGAGAAGATGCTCCCACCAGCTTCCAGAACTGAGCCAAGAGGGAAGCTCAAAAATCCCCAACCACCTACAAACTTCTTCAGCACTCCAAATACTGGCTACACCAACCAACCTAGGTTCTCCAGATTTGAGAGGTTAGAATAAGGATATCAACTTTTTCTGTAGTCTATTTTGGTAGGGGAGCCCTCCCCCAAGAAAGGGTAAAAGGGCACTGCTGGGGGACCTAGCAACTAACCAATGCCACAAACCCCCACCCAAGCACACCAACTCAACGCTTGCCGCTTCCGCCGCTGCGGCCCGGCCTCCGGCTGGTCGCCCACCGGCACCCGGGCCACGCCCGGAAGGTCCACCAAGGTGAGGGTGATGAGCCGCGGCGAGGTCACCTACCCCCGCTTTCATGGGACCATCAAAAGCCCGTGTTGTGCGTGCGTGCGTGCGTGCGTGCAAGGTAGCCTCCTGTCCACGTTGCCATGAAACCCACCAAACGGGGCACCTTAAGAACATCGTTGTGCAGGACCCCGAAGCCCCAACCGAAAGGGCTGACCACGAAAGGGATGACGCTTCTCTTGTTAGGAGTTGGGTACCCCGAACTGAACCATCCAACCGGTGGTTTCCTTGGGATCCCTAGGCTCATTTCCCCAACCCCCCGCTGAGAATGGTACACACATGAAACCGCTTCCAGTGACTGCAATCTGCCATGTCCCGAGCTCCTGGACTGCAACTTGGGAAAGTTGCTTTCATGGTACTTAGTACCCAAAAGCCATGTTTTCTGACCCAACTCAGGAAGCTGCCTGCTTGCAATAAATAACACCAGCCTTGGATTCAAATCTCTTGACATTTGGGTCATAGCCATGGCCTGTACAGACAAAGAAAGCCGCGATGGTTGACGCAGAAGTGAGGTGGGCGGGGACTCGGACCCCAAAAACAACTTGCGCTCCGCTTTGCCGCCTGGCTTGGAGGTACGCCAAAAAGTAGAAAGAAAAATCAAAGGTAAGATAGCCTCCTGTCCACGTTGCCATGGAACCCACCAGAGGGGGTTCGACTCCGAAACGCCATATTTTCCCCTCAAGCCCAGCTCCCGGCCTGTAGGACCTGGGCGGCGTCGGCGGCGTGCCATTAAAAAAGTTTGGCCAAAAGGGGCTGCTTTTCTTGGGGTTTGTTTTTTTCAATGGAGAGAAATGTTGGTTTCATTCCCCTCTGATTTCCCGTGAAGGCAACCCCAACCTGATGTTTTTTTACTAGCGGAAGACACAAACAAGGTGACAAACCAGCAATGAGCCAAACAAGCTCGATCTCGTGGGAGGATCCCACCCTTCTCAGGAAGTGCGCAGGACTTTCCAACAGGAAACTAGTCTTCCAAAGGTGTGAACTTCCATGTTTGTTGGTGGGAAGGTAGCTTGCCTCAACTGCCTTGGGGCCATGGTTGGAAAGGTTTGTCATATAGGCCTCTCTATAAACCACAGTGAAACCGAGCAGTAGAAGGACCCGCAAACTTGGACAAAGGGGATTTTGGGCGCTCAATTGTCCACACGTTGCGCATGATCATCGAAATTTGGACCTCTGTGCCTTCTAAGATAGGGGGTTGTCTTTGTTGAGAGTACTCTTTTCAGGTTTGTGCAGGAGCGGACAAACAGGAAACCATAACAAACAGGAAACCATTATTTTGGGGTCCCGCCATTCTACACATACAGATAGACCACTGCCTGAACACGTATGACACAAGTCGTCCAGTCAAACCTACATTCATCATGGCTTGATACTCAATGACCTCAAAACCGTTTCATAGCATCAATGTACAATTCGCATCGACTTACATTTCAATATAATTAGCTGCCTCCACGGTATTCTGCGGGCCAACCAACAAGCACTGATGGGTCATCCCGGAGTGACTCTGAAAAAGCATCTTGGGTCGAAAACAAGGATGTGCTTTCCTTCTGCTTTTAACAATCCCAGTCATCCGCAATTCCGCAAGAGGAACTAAGTTAATGTTGGGGAGTGAATAATAAAGGGCCCCCCCCCTCAAACCAAATGGGGGGGGTCAATAGAGGAAACCCTAAAAACAAAATGAGGGTCAGACCGGGTCTTCCCTAAGTAGTATTCCAGTAAGTATTGGTTAGTATTGGTTTAGTATTGGTTTAGTATTGGTTTTGGTTTAGTATTGTTGCTGACTGGCTTAGTACTGAATAGAATTGGTTTAGTATTGGTTTAGTATTCTTGCTGACTGGCTTAGTACTGCTTAGAATTGGTTTAGTATTGGTTTAGTATTCTTGCTGACTGGCTTAGTACTGCTTAGAATTGGTTTAGTATTGGTTTAGTATTCTGGTTGACTGGCTTAGTACTGCTTAGAATTGGTTTAGTATTGGTTTAGTATTCTTGCTGACTGGCTTAGTGCTGCTTAGAATTGGTTTAGTATTGGTTTAGTATTCTGGTTGACTGGCTTAGTACTGTTTAGAATTGGTTTAGTATTGGTTTAGTATTCCCTGGCCCCAGTCCTAAAACACTTTTCTCAAGTAACGCCCCTTAAACAAATCTCATTATTGGCTTCCTGGGTGTTCCCTGTACTACCCCCTTGAAAATTTGGCAGGGTGCAACTTTTAGTAAGGGCTGGCATAAAGAATTTGGCTGCTGGGGACCTCAGTTAAACTTCCTTTTCAGGGACTTCAATCATCATCTCCTTGTTGGTGGTGGTGGTAGGTTGGGGGGGGCGGGCGGGGCAGAGAGAGACAGGAGTTGCACTGAACTAGGGATTAATTATCAAACTCTTTTTCGGGGAACATGTTTCCGGATTTTTTGCCCCTCACAAAGACTTTTGTGTATTAACTCCCCCTTTTGCCTTTCAGGGGTGTGAATAATTTTGTGTTTTTTTTGTGTATTGACTCCCCATTTATTATTCGCAACCTAACATTACTGACAAAACGGGAACCCTTGTTTCGGACGAACCACCAAACCCATATTGAAGAACCACCCAGAGGCAAGTGGAAACATCGCCAGGGAAAAACGCCTTTTATAATGTACGGCCACACCCCGTTCTTGCAGAAAGTAAGCACCCGTATAGCTAAGAAAACTACCTTGTCATGTTCCTCATGTTTAAAGGGCAGTTTAAGAGCCTGAAAGAAGGTCTCAAAGCATGGTCTTCCAAACAATGCCTTTCAGGTGGGTGATGTCCGCATTTCGGGAGTGTCTTCTGACCCTTTTCCACAGGAAAGCCAAAAGAAAACTTACCCAAACCCAAACTCGGGTCTAAAAGTCATGACTAACCCGAGCTTTGCTTTTCTTGCTGGTGCTCAGCCGGGAATGAGGGAATGACCCTCATAAACCATCCAACTGCTGGGTTCCTTTAAGAAACCAAAGTTTGGGTTCATTCCCACATTCCCTACCTATCACCCGCAAGTTTTGGCTCCACCCCCGCCGGCGATTCTGGGGTTGCCCGCGATGGGCGTGGCAGAGAGCGCCTTCGCTCTGCCACAGAGGCGGTCCTCGCAAAAAACAAATCTGGAGCGAGGCTCCAGCCCGGCGGAAAATCTTCACTCGGTTGCTTTCTGCTCCCCTGCTAAAAGTGACTAACTTTTAGTGGTTTAAGGGAAACCCCATTAGTTGGCAAAAAAAGTTGAAGTCCTAACATCCGAGCAAAATGCACCAAAGCTCATATCTGAGTACGAGATCTTCAATTAGTGGACCCCCTAAAAATAGTCGTCTTCCTTTGGTTTCCCTTTAAAGCCACCAAAAACGGGTACCCTCAAAAACAGGCGCACCTATGTCTCACTATGAGGACCTTGCGAATGACTCCCATGCTCAGATGCCCAGCGGATTTCCATGGGCAAAAAGGGGCATCCTGATTTTGATTTTGGTTGGTTGAGTTTAAAGGGAAACCCTTCCAAACAAAAGGACAAAAGGGCGCCACTGGGAAAGTGGGCATGCGTGAAGGCCTTGCATGAGGAGTACTTGTTTGTTGCAGGTGTGGCAGCTGACTCCATGGGCTCCACGCCAACTTGTCAACTCGCCTCCCATATTCATGGATATGTTTAGCATGCTCAAAAGTAGGCTTGCGGGAATGTGGGGAATGTGGGGGACGTGCGGCGAACATGGTCTCGCAAATACATGAGACATTTACCATATACCTAAACCCAAACAATCATGGAAGGCGACATCGGGTATGTGAAAACCGACTTTCCTTTTCGGAAAGGAGGGCAGAAACAGCTAGCAAATGGAAGGCAAACGAGGTCATGTCCCCATATTGCCATGGATTAGTTCCTCAAGAGACCTGGCTTGGGCAAGACAAGGAGGCTATCTTTCGAACCCCCTTTTTTCCCTTTGAGACCATCCTGAGACCTGAAACATGATATTAGTGGCTACATGAGCAAACTGGGGTTGTGAGATACTTTGAAAGCAAATTCAGTCATCCTCAATAGCCTCAATAGCTAACACTGTGTTCAACTATTTAGCCCTTTCTATTATACCATCGCCAGAAGCAAGTTTGTTGGTTCCCATTTGTGGGAAGTAGTACGGAAGCTAAGTTGTGGAGCTTAGCTCAGGAAACTCGAATTGAATGAGCCACACTAGTGACCGGGTATGTCTCCAAGTGCAGCACCTGTTGGATGGTGTTAAAAGGACAACAATCACCAGGGCTTTGTTTGCGCGGCAAGCAAAGACAACTTGGCAAAGCGCCGCCAGACAGTTTGTTTGATTGCTGCAACTGAGGGTGTTTTCATTGTTTACTCGGGTTAATTAAACGTGAGCCCTGGTCGGAAGCCTCACTGGCCTATCCTTCGACTCCCCTCCCCTAGCACCAGAGCCGCATCTTTTCTCAGCTGCCAGATCCAACTCAGGATCCTTTGCGAGGTGCCTCAGATCGCTCAAGACATCGCCGAATGGGGAGACGAACCGCTAAACAGTGGATTTTAAGCAACCCAGAAAGGGTCCCCACACAAAAAGGCACACACAAATGAAATTGCAAAAACAAGGGCCATCATGTTTCCCACCGACAACATTTCACCATTTAAGGGTAACCCTCGTAGACTCATGACCTTTTCCACATCAAACATGCAAGAATACCTGGAAAAAGACTGATTTCCCTCCTAGGCAACTTGGCCAGGAAAAGTCTGCCTGCCCTGCTTGCTTAGGGGTATGCCACAGTTGGCCCCTTTCTGGAAGCAATCAAATTGTCTTCCCACTAGCTGTTGTGGGTGGTGTGTTCGTAACGACTAGCCGCTTGCCAATGGAAGCACCGTTGAATGACAGGGTGCTCCAAAATTCAAACATCCTCTGTTTGGATGTAAATCAGGCCTGCTGTTGGACAAACCACGTTCTTTGTTTTTGTTGGACGAAACTCAAAAGGATTCCAACTCTGGAAAGCACGCTCACATGAGTGTTTCCGAAACAAGAGAAACCGCCTGTTTACATCCTTTGAATGGCTCTCTGGAATTCCCAATATGATGCAACAGGCAAAACTACTTGCTTTAAAGGACAGGCTCGTGCCCATCCAAGCTTTCGTCAGCTCATCTGATGCAAGCCACATATTGACTGGGTGTCTGGCCATACAGCAACTTCAGCGTATGTCGAGGCCTCAGCGAATGGGCCGATTTGCGTCCGGCGTGTCTTGTTTTGCGTCCAGGTTTCCTTTAAAGGGGAGCCAGGGAAATCACGCGAATTATTTGGGCCCCTCATTTGTGAGACAAATCCTGGCTCCATGTTGCTGCAGTTTCAGAGGCTTCTCCGGAAACCGACCCTCACCGGGGATTGATTCCATTAAAGCAAGGTCATAGAAGATCCCACACACATCCCCTGGAAACAAAACGACAATTCCAGTAGTGATAGATTCCCGTTAAAACCACTAGGGGAAAATGTAAGGGAAGGTGTCCGGCCAAGCATGCAAATACATTTTGGGGCTGGGGCCATCCCAGCCGAACAAAACCTGTAGTTACTAGTCATCAGCTTGACCCCATATTAATCAACCTCAGTGTATTAATAGGGGGTGTCCCTGGGTCTAGTCGGCAATCATCACTTTTGGAGGGAGACACCCCCTAGAAATAAACAGGGGTAGATAAATATGGTGTCAGAATTTAGTTGAATCCAGCGTTGATTTTAAATTTCCAGAGCTCTCGCTGATTGATCAAGCCTCTTCAGTCCACTAGTGCTTGCCCCATTCTCTTGTCAAAGGCCCTAAGTGGCAGGCTAAAGCAAAACAGCCCCAGTCAAAAACCATTCGAAACCCACAGAAACCGTCAGCACAATAAGCCCGATATCTTGGGTTTCTCACTTCCTGCACGGCCAAAACAAGTCACTTCTTTATACTCACTTCCTGATTGGATTGGCTGATTGGCCAGAAAAAGTCGGAACTTTCTATTTGCTAAAATGGTCCAAACCCAAATAAGTGTGAAGTCCAGGAACTCAGGCAGTGAGTATACAGGATTTAGGAATAAATGCCAAACCAACCCATTGGGACATTTTACTAAAAAAGGACCAACAGTGAGTGTTGCGTGGTCTTTCTCACTTGCTGAGTGGATGGCCCGAAGAAAGTCCAAACTTTATATTTAAGCCAAAAAAATAAATGGTCCAAGCCAAAACAAAGTTCAAAGCTCATGGTCTCAGGAAGTGAGCCTGCAAAGATTGAAGTAAAACTTGGGCAGCCACTCATCCCCACCCACCCCCCCACCCGCCCCCCCACCCCACGCTTTTCACCGCTTAAGCTCGAGGTGCTGGTTCGCGTCCTGGCAGGCGGCCACCGCTGCGGCACAGGTGACCTGCCAAGCCAATGTCCAAGGAAACCACGAGGCGAGGACGGCAACAGCAAACCAAACAAATCTGAAAAAAGGGTTCATGGACCAACAGGATGTTGGGTGGGGGGCAGGGTTTGGGTGGCTGGTCATGTTGGGGAGGGTCATGTTGAGTGTTTGGTGGCTGGTATTTGGGTGTGGCTCACATTTAATACAGCTAGGGTTACGCAGGTTTTGGTCCATGTTTCCACTTGCCAGGGTTCCATTCTTGTACCTTCTTTGGAGCGACAGCCAAAAAAATCAAGAAAGGAACCCCAAAGCAAACCGTGAACCGACATTCATCTAGGACACAGCCAACAAGAAGCAGGAAAGGAAGCCAAAAGCAAACCTAATTAAGCCTAAGACAAACAAACAGAAGCAAAAAAGGAAACCCAACACAAGCCAACATACAATTGTTGGTTTTTCATAAAGTGCGCGCGCCCCCTTGGTTGGTTTCCAAAGGATAGCAAGCAGAAACCAAGTACACTAGAGTCAAGAACGTCAACCATCTGTTTGGCTTTCTTTTGGGAATACACACACACACACACGAACTGCGGTTGCAATTTAGCAGACGGATAATGAGGCAGAAGCAAGAAAGCCCCGAAGCAAGGCCCTACAAATGGGGCATCGCCCCAATTTGGCGGAAGCCTACATGTTTTTGAACGAAATGTTGCACGCAACAACATGCGAGCCTGTTGGATTCTTTGCCAGAAACATGTTTGGCAGTCTTGATTCCCCATTCCGCCCAACCATCGTTCTTCTCAAAAACCGGGCATTTCCAGGGCTTCTGGAGGTTTTCTAGAAAGAAGGATCCCTGGAAAGAATGGGGAAGGTAGCACCAGAAAGCCAGTTGCGCAAAGTTTGTGTACCCAGCCGGGATCTCGCCAAGGAAGCACGCGTCATGCCGGCTCCCTCAGTCAGGCCGGGCGGTCTGCATTCACGCGTGATCTTTTGTAGAACACCGGCTCCAGATCTCGAATGTTGGGGAGAGTCGCCTGGTTTATGTAGACTTGACCAGGTAAAAACTTGCTCGCAAACTCGAGCCAAGGGACCTTGCACCCAAAGGATGGGCCGAGGGGTTTGAATGGGTAGCAATGTGCAAGCTGGAACTTGAAAAAACAGGTCCCCTACTCAGCAAAACGAAAGGCTGGCTTTGGGCCACCATCCTATTCTAAGATACATGAACTGTGTGCATGGAATCAGGGCTTTGTGTCGAAATAGGACCTATTGGCTGTGTCCCTTGTGGTGTCCCTACAAATCAGTCCGCTTGAAAGGGGCATCCTTCAAAAAACGTCCTATGGCCATGAATTCGAAAGAAAAAGAGCAAGCGCCTCAAAAGAAAGTGGTTGGGGCACATCCTAAATGATGTCCGCAGGGTTCCGAATTCACTTCCACTTGCTCAAGGTTCCTGGAAAAATATATTTCCAGCAATTAGTGATGGATTCCCTTGAAACCCGACAAGGGAAACAAATATAGTACTAACAAAAGCATACCTGGAGTCTCCATGACTCAAAAATGTGGTCATTACCGAAAATAATGGGGTCATGGACCCATTTTTAAAGGGTCATGGAATGTCATGAGACTCCAGGTATTCCTTTCAGCTGGAAGCTAAAGGGCTCCCAGTCAAAGTTCCTGGCATCGACGCTGGGTTCAGAGATGCGCCTTGTCCGGCTCCAGGTCAGATGCGCCTCAAAGATCGGCGGAAGCGGGGTGGGCCACGGATT